TCGTTGATCAGCCGGCCGGCCGGCTGGGCTGTGGATCTTGGCCGGCCGGCCGGCCGGCTGGCTGGACCGTGGATCTTGGCCGGCCAGCTGGACCGTGGTTCTTGGCCGGCCGGCCGGCTGGCTGATCGAGAAATAGCGGGCCGCGATAAGCTCGCAATGTACAAGAGTGTCCCACAAGAGTGTCCTACAAGAGTGTCCCACAAGAGTTTCCTACAAGAGTGACCCACAAGAGTGTGCTACAAGAGTGTCCCAGAAGAGTGTCCCACAAGAGTGTCCTACAAGAGTGTCCTACAAGAGTGTCCCACAAGAGTGTCCCACAAGAGTGTCCCAAATGAGTGTCCTACAAGAGTGTCCCACAAGAGTGTCCTACAAGAGTGCCCCACAAGAGTTTCCTACAAGAGTGACCCACAAGAGTGTCCTACAAGAGCGTCCCAGAAGAGTGTCCCACAAGAGTGTCCTACAAGAGTGTCCCACAAGAGTGTCCTACAAGACTGTCCCACAACAGTGTTCCACTAGAGTGTCTCACAATAGTGTCCCTTAAGAGTGTCCTACAGGAGTATCCCACAAGGGTGTCCTACAAGAGTGTCCCACAAGAGTGTCCTACAAGAGTGTCCCACAAGAGTGTCCTACAAGAGTGTCCCACAAGAGTGCCCCACAAGAGTGTCCTACAAGAGTGTCCCACAAGAGTGTCCCACAAGAGTGTCCCACAAGAGTTTCCTACAAGAGTGACCCACAAGAGTGTGCTACAAGAGTGTCCTACAGAGTGTCCCGCAAGAGTGTCCTACAAGAGTGTCATTTGGACATATTAGTTTTTTGAACGTGTTTGCATTCGGTTTCGTGGGTTCCATCTTGTTTTTTTAGATTTGTTTGTTTTTCTATTGTTCTGCTATTGCTCACCCTTTAACATCCTTACTTAAGTCTCCTGAGGTTTGCTTGATTCATGGAATTCTGACCTGGAAATCGTTTTCAAAAACGCTTATTAAAACTCAACGATTTCATTGCTCCAAACAATTTTCAAAGGGGTGGTACACAAGCCCAGGGTAATTGAATAGTATGAGTTGTTTAGGGGGGTGGGATTAATAAGCAAACTTGGAGCCCTACGGGAAAAATCTAACTCTATTATTGTTCTGCTATAGCTGCCCTTTCAAATCCTTACTTATCTATTCTTCTTCTACTACTACTACGACTACTACTACTACTACTACCACTACTAGCACTACTACTACTACTGCTGCTGCTGCTGCTGCTACTACTTCTTTTGGTGGCGGGTTTCTCTTCAGACCCCCTGAATTGTTTGCTAGGGGAGGCTTACTAATTAGGATCGAACATTACGAGGACTTCAGCATAAAAGATGACTTCAACGGAGGGTTCTATCCGGATGCCAGTAGCTTTGAAACAATGATACATTCCCCTCCATGCTCAGGAGAATTCTTGAGAAGGATGTCTGACTCGACTAAAAGTGAAGTCAATAGCCGCATGTGTAGGGGGACTGCATCGGACATCCCATCAAGGCCCCGACGAACCTCGTGGCTCCTTTTTGGAAGCCATGTAAAACCCATATGACATGACAGGAACAAAGGGCATCGCTACTAGGAGCAAGGATCCTACTGTTTGTTCTGCGCCGCTGCGCCTGTCTTGCCACTTTCAACTGGCGCTCCTGAAGCTCCACCGCTGAATTCGACCCATGATAAGAACTGCACCTTGTTGTTTCACAGCTAAGTTTTCGAACAGGGAACCATTTAGGAAGGACATCGCCTGAAGTGTAACATGTAGGAACATTTTCTCACTTAAGAACGCTTTGACAAGAACGCAACGGCAACCTGGGACAGTGCCTTCTCAGACCTGCTGTGGTAGTCCAGACCCAAGGGCATGGCACTGATCTTCGCCAAGTCGGAGCCTAGTGGTGACGAACGATGTCGTACAGAACCCGTCTGTGAAAATGCTCGGTGGCCTTCTAAGCAGTCTGTGGCATCATAGTTCCTGGGAAAAAAATGTCAAAACCAAAGTAAGGTCAGCTGCTCGCAACGGGTAATTCAAGTTGAATCATGTTGTATGGGCTATGCTAGGAACAACAACACTACTAGTAGCAAAGGGAATCGCTACTAGGAGCAAGCACGCTACTTGGGGCTCCTGGCCTGACTACTAGGAACAAGAACGCTAACGCTACTAGTAGCAAAGGGCATCGCTACTAGGAGCAAGGACGCTACTAGGGGTTCCTGGCCTTACTACTAGGAACAAGAACGCTACTAG